CAATCCTCCCCTAATAAGCCGGTTTTATTAGGTGGAGTTAAGCCCAATATTCCTAACATGGTATCAGAGTTAGGCCCAATTATGCAATGTTGGGTGCTACCCAATATCGATTTGTTCACAATTATTTGGCATGGTCCACGCTGTGCGTGAGGGGGCGTATTAGAATCCCACATTACTTGGGAAAATATAAATGATCCACTTAATAAGGTGAGGGCAATCCTCCCCTAATAAGCCGGTTTTATTAGGTGGAGTTAGACCCAATATTCCTAACACATCCAAACACTCGTAGGTTTAGATCTGAAGTGAGACGAGAGGTTGGGAAATATTTATGAAACTGTTGAAGAGGAGTTTCGAAATTTAGAACACGACTGGGCATTCGGTTGATGAGATAGGTGGATGTAAGAATAGCATCTCCCCAAAATAAATTAGGCATTTTTGTGGTAAACATTGGAGCTCGAGCAACTTCTAGGAGATGTCTATTTTTGCGTTCGACAATCCCATTTTGTTGGGGAGTGTCGACTCAGGAACTTTGATGAATTATCCCATGTGTTCGGAGAAAGTCTCCTAGGATGTGATTGAAGTATTTAGTGCCATTATCCGTACATAGAATTTGAATCTGCGTTTGGCATTGTGTGTGAATCATTGAATGGAAATTGATAAACATGGTACGGACATCGAACTTGTCTTTTAATAGGTAGACCCAACAGATTTGAGTGTGATCGTCGATAAATGTAAAACCATTTTGTATGAGTATGGTTTGGGACGCGGGAGGGACCCCAAACATCACTGTGAGTCATGGTGAACAGTTTTGATGGTTTATTAATAGATTTGTGGAAAGATGTACGCTGATGTTTCGCAAGTTCACAGACTTCACATTGAAAATTGACTAAACTTTTATTCAAAAAAATGGAAGAGAGTACACGTTCCATGTATTGAATGTTAGGGTGTCCTATTCTAAAGTGCCATAACATAATTTCACTATCTCTAAGGGCAGATGCAGAATCACAGATGTTAACTTGACACTGTTGATCTTTATTTATCTCTATCTTGATCTTCATCAATTAGTCTCTTTTTTTATGTAAATTTCATGTTAATGTGCCTGAGATTCCTGGATGAACACTACAGAATAATGCTCAATTTCCATGCAAAACATCAAAAGAAGAAATACATAGGGATAAAATATTGAGAACTGGTCTATAACCTGATAGAAGTTTCTAATTATGAACCAGTTCCACTAAAAAACTGAGAGAAAATACATTCACCAACTAGAACAAATTAATATCTCTCAAGCAAATCCCAAAACATCAAAAGAAGAAACACCTTTGAATATAAATAGAATAAGTTGAAGTCGAATATGTGAAATTTTTTTTCCAAATAATCGACCTGTATAATCAGAACTAAAGGAAATATGGGAAGAAATAAGCAATTTCTTAAACTTGAAAAACAGCTAGAATCAGCCTTTTAGCTTTGTATTCTATAGGAATTTTGATATTTTAAGCTGCCCCTCATGCTGGAGAATACATATTGTCCATTTCCAGCTTATTTTTATCAACCGGAATGCTTGACTAGGAAGCCTTTCCGTCAAAATATCTGTCAATTGTCCTTCCCATTGAAATAGTGGAAATGCAAATCAAGCCACTATCTAACTTTGCTTTGACGGACCCTCTTGCCAACTTCCACATAATTTGTATGATCAAGTTGGAAAATAACCTGTTTTCACAATGCAACTTCATTGTTCCTTATCATTTTAACTTTAAGATCATCAAGAATAATCGTAAACCAAAGAAGCTCACATAATCCCCTTTGCCATGAACTCTGCCTCATCACCAGAATGAATTATTTGCTTAAAAATAATTCTATAATATTCTATTTTGCCAGCGAGGACGTCTTGTTCCTCAACCTTTGAATTAAATTCTTGTTTTTTTCTAAATTTCTTTTCAATCAAAGGGGAAAGAACGCTAAAATATAGCTGAACTGTTTCTTTACCCTTGAATTTTGATCACGTTCATTTTTTCTAGTCTGCTTGATACTGTTAAGACTTTTGCAGAGTCAAAAGTATATAAGGCTGTCGTCATTCGTATTGATAGTCCTGGAGGGGATGCTCTTGCTTCTGATTTGTAAGTGTTCTTTTTATTGCATAAACATATTTAGGACTTGAAAACCTATAGAACCACATATTTTATTGTATTAGCAAGTATTTTTCTATACTGTCTTTTCTTTCTGATTTTGATGTGTAAGAAGTTCAATATTTATTTTAACTAGCCACTAATGCTACATCCAAAAATTGCCCCTTTCACAAAGTCCCCTCAATTAGTAGTGCTTGTATCTTCCAAGCCCTTTTTCATCTATTTGCTAGAACTTTTCCCGTGACCTTATACCCAAATTTCTATAATATTATTCAAAAACTATGGAGAAATGACTTTGATGTTCCGTATAATCTCAATTGTTCAATAGGCTAATGTGGCAAGAATCGCCTTTTCTCCTAGATTCTGATTTTTCTGGGATGAGGCATAAAAAGGTTGAATTTCATTGCTGAATTTTTCAAACCATTCTGGAAGAACAACTCAAAAGCTTCCATCAAGTCACCCTTCATAATATCCCATCAATCTTAAAATAAACCCAAATAGAAGCCATCCAGACCAGGAAATATCGCACTACCAAACACTGCACCTTGATTTTCGCTTGTTCAAAAGGTGGTTTTTAATCATTCCTTCATATCCATTGCTATAGAAAACCATTCAGAGCCCTATATTCCCCTTTTTACTCTCATCTTTACAGTATTAAATCTCTAGAAATATCTTCACTGTTATCAAGAATCCCTCCCTCCTCTTCCTCCAATTGGTCATTCACATTGTTTGACTTCCCAAAGCCTTGATTATGTATTTCCCTCTTTAATCCATCTATATATTATTTTTCAGTTCCAAGAAGTCGACTGCTTAAAGGTCATATCTTTCCTATTCTAGCAATCGAACACTTTCCAAGGTCTTCAATTAATATGCTATAACGCCCCGAATTCTAGGAACGCGATGCGTTACCAAATATGAATTTCTTAACATGCTAAAAAAAATAATTTTAATATAATGGGCATATTCACTAAAAGTTGACAACATTTAATAAAATGATATATTTAGTTTACTAAAATATGCGGAACTTTTGGAATCATACCTTTAATCAAAACATCAATAAAACTAGTTCAATATGCACTAAAACTAGGAGTAACTAAAAATTAAAATTTTACTTTTAGTTAATCCAAAACTAATCAAATTCAACATATAAGGTACTTCGTGATGAGAATCCGTTGGTCTGGCATATCCATCCACCTACCTCCATCTAGCATTCTAATTTCTACCTGAAATATGTAAATAAAGAGGAATGAATATAACGAATTATACTCAATGAGATGTTTGCTACTCTACATTCAAATTAAACATGAAATTATGCATAAATTCTCTTACCAAATATAAAATGAGAATTATCACACCATGAAAATGATAATTCTAGCAAGCCCTGCAAAATAACATGAAGGCTAACTGATATCTAGAGGTACGCATTAAAATGTATCATGATTTCTCCCGAAGGAGCCTTGAACTGAAGTAATTCAATTCATACATAACAACGTATTTGAAAAGATGTGAAAATCACTAATAGCATCAAGTAGCTCACCTTAAACTAATAAATAACCTTGAATTGGCCAAAACGATGGATAAAATTGAAACTCTTTTGAAAACCTTATTAAAGTTTTAATGGGGGTTTCTGTTGAAATTTTAAAGAATGAAACAAAAGTTAAAGAATAGGTTTTGTGGCAAATATATGTACATGGTGTTGGTATTTATAGGTAAATTTAGAGTAGTTTGATTGGGACTAGGATTGTATCAAAATCAATTAGACATTATCCTAAATTATGTAGACAATGACTAATTAGCTAGTTCAATTGTATTAAATATCAAATATATACAATACTCGCATGACGTGTCGAAACATGAATGGTTTTCTTAAATTGATTAATACTTAAATTATAACTAAACCACAAACTTAAATACTAATTCAGTTGAATAGCTGTGTGGTGATAAGCCTAATTAGTTTAAGATAAATATATTCTATTTATATCATCAACTTTCAAAGCACTCTAGTCAAATAGAACAACCTTAATTGAATTTGTGATAATTAATATCAACAGCCTAGTCAAATTGAATAACTATCACCTTAATTGGATTTGGGATAATTGATATCATTAACCATGTTTATAGCTATTTTACTTTTCCAAAAACTGTATTGGCCGAAAAATCATGAAGGAAAGGAATATGTATACTATTTCATTTACAACTTATTTATATTCCACTTTGATCCCTCAACTATTAAGGAAAAATCATATAGATGCAAATTAACTATTAAGCATAACAAATTGACTTGCATAAAGACTTCACTAGACATGGCATTCCTATTAATTGACAAATAAATTATATGCAACACAACTAAAAAATTCGAGGTTCTACATATACCCTCAGTATAAATGATCTAAGCTGTCTAACCTAGCTGAGATGTGCCTTTTTCAACTCACCTCCAACCTTTTAACTTGGCCCTATACTTAGGGTTTCCTAACCACATGTTTTCAAACCTAAAATTAGTGGGACCCCGTTTCACAGAAGTGTCTAGAATGATTGGAAAATTACCTGATACTTCCTTCACCCCTGCCTTTAAACTTATATTTGGATATTTGCTTTTAGTCAGCCTAGAACTAGATAATTTTTCATGAACAAACCTCACTACACTGCATACACCCCCACCACACACCCATCCACACCCCAACAAGGACCACATCTCACAAGTAGTCCTACTAACTCTTCCAAGAATGTATTTTTGTCAAATATTCCAATTAGTATCATTGACCCCTGTTAACCACCAGGAGCCCAATGAAGAATCTATATTTATTTGTTCAAAAATTAGCCTATATAAACGTAATAACAGAATCATCTGTGTAGTTTTATCAAATCAAACTACTAATAGAATGTCCATTCCTTACAGAAATGACATGGACGGTGAAGATGTCTCTTATAAATTATTTTTATTGGTAAATAATAGGCGAAATCTGGACGAACGGTTACAATTTGATGCAGTAGCAGTATTTTTGTCAATATGCATAAAAAATAAGAAAAAAAATGCATGACCATCTGTAAGCTGAAGTCCACAATTAATAGGTTTTATGAATGTTTTTGCATTTCACACGATTTTAATCTGCATTTCATGTTTAAATTGATCGTAGGATGAGTTAAGAAAAAGAAATATTGGATTAACTATGGACAGGAAAATGTTTGATTGTTCATTGATTAGTGTTGTTATTGTGTTTTAAAGAATGTGGAGGGAAATCAAACTATTGGCGGCCTCTAAACCTGTGATTGCATCAATGGCTGATGTTGCTGCTAGTGGAGGATACTACATGGCAATGGCTGCTCAGGCTATAGTAGCTGAGAATCTCACGTTAACAGGTTCAATTGGAGTTGTGACAGGTGAGACTTTACAACTATACATTAATTTCTTACAAGATGACTTTTGCAGTTGAAGGAAGTTGGACACATATAAGTGAGAGCTGCCTAAAATGTTGTTTCTTTTGAAGAAATTCAAAATTTCAAATAACGTCCTTGAACCAATAAAAGTGATTAACAATCGCTTTTGCTGGTTCAAGGACGTTAGTTAAAATTTTGTTTCTTTTGAAGAAATTCAAAATTTCAACTAACGTCCTTGAACCAGTAAAAGATTAACAATCGCTAGTTCATGGGTGCAGTCACATGACAAGAGTATGAGTTGAAACTTAAAGATTTTGAATCTGAAATTCAACATTATAACAATCAAGTTAAAGGAACATTGTACCTGTTAAATTTGCAGCATGTGTAGATACCTTAAGATGCTGCTGTCCTAGTAAATTGTGACTTAGCATGAATCATATTTTCTAAAATTGCACCAGAGAAGCTCCTAACGGCAAAGTATAGTGAGGCATAGAAAGAAACGTGCGAAGTTTATTTGGATCTTTAATTTTTATCTCGGTTCATTATCTAGTGCTGATGTTTTGACTGCTAAAATACCTTTAAATTTTCGAAATTAATATTTTAGAGTGCTGAATTTTAGCAAGTTGATGAATTAAATAATTTCTCCTGAAATTTACTGAATGTTTCTGCCTTGTTCTTTACTGAATATATTATCTTGTATTGATCTTTCGTGTAGAATATAACGTGTACTTCATTATATGGAGTTGGTGCTGCATTATTTCACTTTGCACATTGAGACTTATGGCATGTCCCTTTGGTTACCAAACTTAGCATCTTAAAATGATTGCTTCTAAATTTTCTTTTACTTGTCTCCATATGAAAAATACTTGAGAGTTGAAATATTATTGTTGGATAATGTATAACTACCTAACGGTTCCACATTGACATGATTTTGCTACAAGAACATTTGTGGGATTAATAACTATGCTTAAATAAATGCATCAACATTATTTCAGTTAATTGCATGAGAATTTGGACATTATTTGGGGGAGAGCATATCTGTTCTTTCTTATTTTTTTTTGTTCCATGTCATCTTTGTTCTCTTATATCATCTAGCAGAGAAGTTTGTGGAAACTAGCTATGTTTTCTTGCTTCTAAGTTGTTTTGTCTTCCATTTTTCCATTTCTACTCACCTCTTTTATGCTGCTGAGATTCTTCCCCAGTTCTTATTCTTTCTTATCATGTTTCTTTTGTCTACACTGTCTGAAGTGTGTATAAGCTCCATAACTGTAGCTCTAATTCTTTAATCTGCACGGGAGAATACTTGAACATATGCATATGCTTTTCATACAAAACTTGGGTCAAGGGTGAACCTTTTTGGAGGTAATGGATCGACATAACGAACCTTTTTCTGGGTTATAATAAAAATTGATAGTTTTTTATTTTTACGTAGGAAAGTTTAATTTGGAGAAACTATATGAAAAAATCGGCTTCAATAAGGAGATAATATCAAGGGGAAGATATGCGGAGCTGACTGCTGCTGAACAGAGGCCATTCAGGTACTTCAGCTTTGACTAGCAAAAATTATGTACTATATAGTGAATAAGTGATAAGGTACTCAAAAGCATGTTCTTGAAGTATGAGGAACCAAATTGCCATTTTTTTTGGCTCATTGTTGTTTGTAAATATGTATTAATTTTTGGATTAAGTTGCTTCTAATCATATGATACCAGAAGTACTTTGAAGGTTGGAATGACAGCACATGTCAAAGTTTCGTTGACTTGATTATCAGTCAAATTGAAACACTGTTAAGAATCCACATGGACTCCGAAAAACATCCTCACTCATATAACTACATCTTTGAACTTGGGAACAAACTGAATGCACTACCATATTAATTCTGAACATGCTAAAACTAGTGGTGGCAAATGGCTCAGCTTGATCCATGGCCTGCCAAGCTCGGTACAGCTGTTTGGATGAGTCGTGCTCAGCCCATTGGCCAATGTGCCAAGTTTGGGCTGGCTCATTGACCAAGAGGCTAGACCCTGACGACATTAAAAAGCCCACAGCCTGCACTTAGGGGCTGGCCTGTAAAGCGCAGAACCCTGGGCTCAGTTCTGCCCATCAAGCTAAAAAACATGCTTAGCTTGGCCCTGGGCTCGTTTAAATGCGGTCACAAGCTGGTCCGGGCCCATTGCTACCCCTATAGTAGAATATGTTGGTGTGTTTGTGCCCGATTATTTGAGAAAATAGTATGTGATTAAAACATAGGAATAACTTTTTGGTTTATGAGTAAAATTGTTTTATTACGAGAACATGGGGTGGTTGAAAATGAATTTGGAACGAAATGATTTTTTGTAGAATGGAGCTCAAACAGGAGCTATATAGGTACTGCTCAACCCTTGAGAAAATCATTTTGACAATTTCTTACAGAACTGCTCCTAACTAGAAAACATCAGAAACAACAAAAATAAGACACTGAATGGCAGAGATACAGACTGGAAAACTGGTTAAGATAGCTTGCAATAAATGTATCATTGTTTAATCAAACGAAAGCTGGAGTTTCCTCCTCCTCCTCCCTCTCTCTCTACAATTCTCTCTCCTATGTTTCTCATCCAAAAATTGAGTTTTCGAGTTTTCACTTACGTTAATGTGGATAGTTAATCCATTGTAAACGCTAGGAATTGAAGGTGTGTTTTGAATGGTCCTTTCTACCTTGACTCATTTAAAATTCTCTTATTCGTTATTTCAACACATTTCAATTTATGCCTGATAACTTGTATGGGAACATAGAAAATCATGTGGGGGGTCAATGCTTAGGTGTTAATAGGAATCAAGACATTTGGAAAATATACGAGATTCAAGGCCAGTTTATTTCTTGGTTGGTTATTTTACGTAGCATTTCTGTTTCTACAGATTATTACTTACAATATGCTCATTTTTTATGATTTGCAGAGCAGATGAAGCAGAACTCTTCGCGAAGTCAGCACAGAATGCATATAAAAAATTCCGAGACAAGGCAGCCTTTTCTAGATCAATGACTGTATGATTTTGATGGATTATACATTTCATCTAGGGATATTGACAATTTTATCGGTAAATTGAAATTTGATGATCATGTTACAGGTGGAGAGCATGGAAGAAGTAGCTCAAGGAAGAGTTTGGACTGGGAGTGATGCAGCTTCACGAGGTCTTGTGGATGCTATTGGGGGACTCTCTCGAGCAGTAGCAATTGCGAAACAAAAGGCTAATATACCAGTGGACAAACAGGTCTGTTTAATAGTCTCGTGTTTGTTATAGATTTGTAGAGTTCTTCTCTCACTATTCAATCTTTGGATTGTGAACTGAATGCATGAGATTTGTCTGATTTCCTAGATGTTGAATCATGCACACGGAATGTTCCAAAAAAATGAGATTTTGCATCTCATCAATTTGAAATTTTGATGGACTAGTTTTGAAAATGAGTTACAATAAGAGGTGATATAGTACGAGTTGATGACAAAATGAAATTAGGCTCTTTTTGATACATATTCTTTAAAACTCATTTTCAACCCACATTCTCCCAATAACATAATTTTGCACGTGTACCCATAATTTTTCCCTACTTTTTAACCACACATTCTTCAAAAATATCACTTTCCCAAANTTTTTTTTTTTTTTTTTTTTTTTTTGTTTGGTTCTAACTGATGTTATTAGGAATGAAAGTTGGATATACCTTATCAATTCCTCCATGGTCAATGTCGTTAATTTTGGATATTAACTAGTAATTTTATAGTTGAAAGCCTCAGCAATTATCAATTTGTGGAACAACTATGTCAAAATTATCATCCAGCAATGTAAAGACATGTATTGTTAGGCAAGTTGTTCCTGCGCTTTTATTAAAAACACGAAAAAAAAAAAAAGAAAAAAGAAAGCTCAACTTATCCAACAATGTGTTGTTGCCTAGTTGGATGATATTGATAATGCACGAACATATTTTCATGTAACATCATCATTGCTGTTAATCGGCAAATGGAATTAGACGGCATGCCTAAAACTGAAGTAAAGATGAAAGTTCAGCAACTAACTTAGAACAAAAAATAGGTTTGGTGACTAAAGTGAAAAAATGATATAAGTTGGGGGACTAACATTGTTTTTACTATTGGACAAAGTATTATGCTTTCATTTCTTGTAATGTATAAAAGAGCTCTCTTTACTATTGGAACTCTTTTATCAAGCATAAATCATGTTAACTCTAACATACTGTGTCCCGTCCCCATGGCCCCGAGTTTTTCGACTCTTGGCATTGCTAATGTTTTCTAAAACTCCAGGTCACACTTGTTGAGCTGTCAAGGCCTTCTTCATCTCTACCCGAAGTCTTAAGTGGCTTAGGGAATTCCATAGTTGAAGCTGACACTGTAGTCAAAGAGTTGCTAGAAGACATGGCATCTTTGAGTGGAATTCAAGCTCGTATGGATGGGATCGTGTTTGAAAAATTGGAAGGAGCTTCATATGCCAACGTCATCTTCAAACTTATCAAGGATTACCTAAGGTCATTTTGATCTTATATTTTCTAAATTTTTCTTCTGTCATTTTCTTTATACTAAGGAGATCTCCTCAAACACAAAAATGGAGTACATTTAATCGAAAAGTGTGTAGGAAGAGTGCAAAATTCACATGACCGATGAAGTTACATTTTACCCTCCATTTGTTCTCTGTGAGAAAAAATTGATGACATTTTTTGTCATGGGAAAGTGTCCCAGCAGTAATTCAATCATGCTTGGTATACAATATGAATGACAAATTTGTTTACAGAATGTCACGTGGCATTATGTCATCGAACAGTTTAAACAAAAAGTTGTTTTTGCAACCAACTATTTTTTTATCAACACACCACATTGTCATCCTTAGTTTTACAAATAGCAAAATTCACAATAATTTAACCTTAATATCATAACTGTGTTTTAATGGATTAGTTTGCTTATATGTAGACCCGCATGTTAGTATGGATGATAGCCAGCAGATACTAAAAATAAACGATACGTAGGGTTGTATTTAATTGAGACTTTTAAAACTTTTTCAATGGCACTTTTGTCCCCAACCTTTTAAGAGAGTAGTAAAAATACCCTTCTATTTTTTTGTGCAAGTCATTCCCAATCTATAAAATTGGCGCAGTTCATCCTCTTGGGCGTTACATCACAAATTTGCAATTCGCTTTAAATAAACAAAAATAGATTAAAGGGAAAATTGCAGCAAGAGTAAAAAAATTTCAAAATGTGCTAATCGGCCCAGAAAGAAAATAATTCATAATAACAAGAACAAATTAGATAAGAAAATAAAATTTATCTCCCCACCCCCAATCCAACCCCACCCATGGGGTTACAAGTGAGGCATAGAACATTGGACACAACCGACAAAACATAAGGTCCAATCTAATCTTTATAACGACTCGAAAAAAGATCTCTTCCAATCTTGCACGTATAACGGATGTCCTACGTGGACAACGGACTGATAACGTGGCATCCCATATCTTACATTATTTTCACATGTAATCTGTCAACAAATATAAAATCACATTAATTTTCTAAAGAGCTTCCGCCGTATAAGTTTCTATCAAAAAATTGAGCGAAATGTCATTATCATCGAAATAGGTGTCAAAAGTAATATCGAATGAAATATCATGTCATCAATCCGTTGTCCAAGTAAGGACATCCATTAGTAATTTTTGACGGAATTTACTTCATAGGAACTAACGAGGTTCATGACTCAAATTCAAGAGACTATTGAAGTTCAACTTAAAGTTCGGGAAGTTTTTTCGCACTTATTGTCAAATCTACGGACAATTCAAGCTTTTTACCTATTAGGGTTAGGTCCCCATTTTTTTACTTGGTGTGATCGTGAGTTCCCAATCTTCAAAATAAATAACTTAGCGTCCTGAACCTTTTTAAATCTTTTAATTTGGGATCTCATGTGACTAAAATCGTCGGAATGGACATTAAAATTGCATGTACTTTCACTTAATTTAAAGTTGAAACATAAATACGTCGAACAAATTATTATTCTTCAATTCAACCGAATGACGCATGTGATGTCAACAGTTTTGATTACTTGGGAACCCAAATTTACAAATTTGCATAGGTTGAAGACCCAAAATCTCACTATTGAAGATGAGAATTCACAATCACATTCACGTGAAATGTTGGGAAAGATGATCTAGAGTTAGAAACCGAAGTATGTAGACCGCGAAACAGTACTAAATCGAGGCAACTCTACTCTAATTCCATTTTCTGGGCCATTAAAGAATTCCCAGAGGATTTTTTTTCTTCTTTTTTCATTTCTTTTTTTGCGTGGGGGTGGTTGTGTTCTGGGGAGTTGAGTGTGACACGACATTTCTCACCATAAGCATTCAAAATAGGTAACAAAAAGGCAAAAAGAAGAAAGAAATCCAACATAATTTATAATTTTATACATCTCTTAACATTTCACATTTCTTCTTTATTCTATACACTTTCAACTCCCTTCAATTTGATCACTTCTGAGATGACAGAGATTTGAACAAGCAGATACCTATTCCACCAATAGCCAAAGAAACAAGTAGAGGAATTCCGATCGACTGAATGTCTATAGCTCTCCCTTCTCGTCCTTGTTGAGACCTCTCCCCAAAATATTCATGTAGCATGTTGCTAAGATTATCTATTTGATGCATAACTTGACGCTGTCCCCGAGCAATGAGTAATACCTGTTTTCAGTGACGGATATTAGAATACATTGAAAAAATCGAAAGCATTTGCAGAAACTAATATTTCGTGCATGTTTGGTATAATTTAAGCTCGTCAAATATATTTTTTATCTACAAATTTAGTAGGACCCACAATTATTATCCACAAATTTTGTAGGGCCCACAACTTTAATCACTTACAAACACTCCCAAGCATATGTTTCATAAACACAATTTAACTTATAATAATTGAACACAAGAATAAAGATACGTGGCCAGAACTACTCAATTCTCGAATGTCAGAAACTAAAACAGTGTTAAATTCTCTCAAGTTACCTCTTCCATTATTGGAGACTCCCTGAGTAATTGGGAAGAAGACGAGGAATGGGGAAGAAGGGAACCGGTCAATTGGCCATTTCCTACGCCAGACACGAATAGAGGAGTGCCATTGCAGTCTTCAACCAAATTTTGTTGACTAGCAGACACTTTTCGATTTGAAATTTTTGAGTTCATCTCTTCAATTCTTGATGTGAATTCTTCCATTCGCTCATTCAGTGTGGAAATTTGTTCAGATAGCTGTGTAATGATGCCCTGAAACAATAATCGAAAAGCTGATCCGTTAAAAGCCACAGTAGATTATATTATTACAGAGAAGTTTAATTTGAAAATTGAAAAGAAGAAAACCAAAATGAAATAAGTGACAATAGAACTATCAGCATCCACCACCTTAGAGTCAAAAATGGCATATAAGAATAACAAATATAAAAAAGACTTTTAAACAATATGACGAAAATAATAACATATCTTCAACAAAGTAATTTATAACAAACATCACCTGGTTAGCAAGTGCTGCTGGTGAATCTGGCATCCTTCCATCAAACCTCCTATTATTTACAGCAAGTTTTGTAAGCTTTGACAGATTTTTATCACGCTGAGTTGAGAACGAGTGTGCACTGCCATCAACAGAAGGAAAGTTGCACTTCAACAAATGATAACCATTATGAATAGGAACTTCACATTTAAATCGATGGAAGTATAAGAACTCAAAAGATATTATTAGTCGGGAAGAGCAAAAGTGAAATATGCTCAAGGGTAGTGGATCAAAGTATCACCACTGTGAGAAAGAAAGGCTTATATTTAAATTATAATCTCGGGAAAGGGATTTCAGCACATCTGTTTTCTTGCACTGCTCAAAATTGTCTACTTCCTACTCCTAGGTAGAGTATACCGATTGAGGAACTTGATTCTTCTATCTGCAGATGCTCGGGAGATAGCTTCTTTAGGGCTTGAAGCCAGATCATCGTCTATGCTGAGCTTTGTCTTCAGATCTTCGGGCAATGTCTGTTTGCATATATTATGAGGACCCGACATAGCAAATAGGGAAAAAGAAAAAAAAATTATCATTTCAAACGTGTCTAACCATGACATCGTTTATGAGCTTCTCTAGCTGAATCTGTTCAATGTAAGTGCGAGGAACATATGAACCATCCAAACCCAGCTGCTCAGCAACATATTTGACATACAAACGATCTCTTCCTTGCACCTTTATACACAGTCAGATAATCGAATAATAGTTCAATAAATATGTTATGTAGGCAACATAGGAAGCTAACAATAGTATTACGAGGACAGGTGAGAGGTCTTCAAATGCTTCAAAAAGGAAACTCAAATTTCTTAGTATGATCAATGATGTCAGTTTAAGTCCATTATACCTCTGAATGACAAACGGCTCGATAAAATTCCTACGAGGTTGTGTTCCCCTGTTTAGTGCTTCCAAACAGAAGATAGACCTTAGGTGAATTAAACTTCTTAAAGAATATTTACTTATTCCATATCTCATTTCATTGTTTACCATAGCTTGGTATGCTTCAAAATCAATAATTAAGTAGTGGCATAGAACTGTTTTACAAAAAAGAAGATAGTTCATATTTAATGATCAGTGAGCATGTCTCAAATAGACAAACTTTTCTGAATGGTCTCAACTCTAAGCCGTAAAAAGGGGAGGGGGGGGGTGGAATTTTTTTTATCTGGCGACATTTTAAATTAGAATTTCATCACATCAGACTGAAAAAAATAGAATATGAGAAGATATTGGACCAAAATAACTAAATAATCAAATTCTAGATATTACGAAAAATATACAGGTTTCATACCTGGACATACTTGCGATTAAGTTGCTCCAGCCAATCAATTTTTACACAAACTTTATCATTCAAGAAGACATGGCTGCTTCTTTTCAGGATGGATGCAATTGTGTAACCCAATGCCATCAAACCCCCGAGAAGGCGCACACTAACTTCAAAAGTAATTCTTGGTGATATAATGAAGGGGCTATCCGTGACCCATTCCTGAAAGTTATTTATACTTCTGCTTAGAATACACGATCCACATTATTTATTGACAGTTCTACACAAAAATTATAATTACGGATTTACAGGTCATTAAACAGGCTTCAGCCATATCCCGCAAACTGAAATAAAAGCAGGCCCCAAAACAGCAGATTAAAATGTGTCTACAACTGCAATTGCCAATATAAAATAAATAAATAAATTCACCTTTACATTTTACAGTTGTGAAAAACGAAAGAAGAGAATTCTCTTTTTATATATTCGATTGGTAAGGAGAATACACGTATATATACAAAGCCTAGAAAACTATCTTAGGTAAGTATCTAAATTAGGCAACAAAAATAAATCTATTCGATTGGTAAGGAGAATACACGTATATATACAAAATCTAGAAAACTATCTTAGGTAGGTATCTAAATTAGGCAACAAAAATAAATCCTAATTAGCTAGCTATAAATAACATATTACAATCCATAATTACACCCTGTAACAACAG